CAGCTTTGCACTCAATTAAGTGTGTTGCGGGTGGAATAAGCGGGTATGCGGGCAAGGAAGCGGAGGACGAGGGTGGCGTTGACGGGGGTTGTGCGTGTTGCAAGCAGCAGCCAGGAAAAACAATTTTGTTTCTGCTTGGAGTAAAAAGTGAAGCAAGCAAATCCACTTCAACGGCAAGTTAGTGCCAACAATTGCAGCAGCAGCAGCTGCCACATCAGAAGTTGCCACTTTCTTGGCACTGGCCCCCATCCCGACACCGGCCCCCTAATACTACCTTCTACTACTACCCCACGCTGGTACGTGAGCTGGCAAAGTTTTTGGACTCTTGTTGCCGCCGCTCGTTTCTTGTTGCTCTTCGACTTCCGGCTGATTGACTTGCATCGAGTTGACTTAGCACAGCTTCTCCTTGGCTCGCTTGAAGGATGCATCCTGACTGGCAACGACTTGGCACTGGTTGCGTAAACTAATTTTCCATGTCGTCACTCGATTGTTTTAAAAGCCAAGTTTGCTTTTATTGACACAGCCCACACACCACACAATCGAGTAGCTTGGTTTGATCATAAAATATTAAAGCTTTTCTATTGGGGAGCCCATGCGATGCCAGTCGCCCGACTCTTTCCGCTCCATTGTTGCCGTTTAATGCAATTTTTGTGTTAAGCCTCCTACTATGGAACCGAACTTTTCTGTATACAAGTAAACAATTTGCTATTCCCATTAGTATAAGGCACTTGCACAGTGGGCGAGCTTAGTAACTGTTTCTAAATAGCTTTCAATACTTACTTTGAATTTAAATGTTATCCATAAGTAAGCACGGGTGGAGGACAAAACAGATGCTTATACAAAATTCAGCAGACATTTTTTCAAATCGATATTATGACCAAAATCCACATGGAAATCAATTTTGAATTGACAGAGTTGTGTCCGTTTCTAGGGAAAAGACTAACTATAGACTTGAAAACTTTGCAAATCACGAAGTCAAGAAATAAATTTTCATAAAATTCCGTTTAGATTGAAAGTTGATTCCGCATGGGAATCGAATCAAATTATGCAAGCGACAAATCAATGTACAAAATGCATGTGCTTCGGATTTGGCAACTTAATAAAATTCAATAAAATTTCAAATATTTAATTTTTATCCAAGACTAGCTGTGTGCTTGTCCGTAAAGACTTTAATACATGTTAAATTCAACAACAAGCTTGGATCGAAATGTTTTATGAATGGGATAGATTATCGAGTTTACACACAAATATATATAAAACTGGCACAATATGACTTGTCTGCTTGAGTACACACACATTGCACATTGTATCTACGAGTATTTGCTTATCTGTGTGTGTGTGCGTTTGTGTGTGTGTGAGTATCTTTGTGTTGTAGTATTTCCGATTGTGAATGCTTGTTTGTGTCAGCCGCAGGCATTTCCGCAATGTATTTCGACTTGGAGACTTGTGTAAAATGATGGATAATGGCATTTAATGGGAGACGAATTGAACTCGAATTGAATTCCCACTGCACGCTATGACAGACCACCGCCCCCTACCCCGAACCACCCCACGTCTTGGTCGTGAGCTGTGCCTCGGGCGTGTCTCTCAAATTGTTACATCAATTAATTCACAAGTCATTGTCAGTTGTCGTGTGCATTATAAATGATTTGTGTGCGTGAGTGGTGGCTCTTCATTAGCTGTCGCAAAGACGGGGCCCGGAGGCGTGTGTTTATGGGTCAAATGGTGCGACCTCGTTGGCGGCTGCCCCCCCCCCCCCTCCCTCTCCCCTTCCAGAAGCGCTCTACTGCATATTGAATTCTTGTGTAGAGCGGCTGCTCGCACACTTCAGACTATTTGCAGTGGTTTGATTTCATTGCATTAGACGAGTGACTGCCACGCCCACACAGCTGTGGTGCACGTTTAAATATTCATGGGGCAAAGTTAAAGTGAGCCACACATTTACAACAGCAGCGCACACACACAGAGAGAGAGAGAGGCAGTAAGAGGAAGAGCAGTCACTTGCAACGCTTTTATCAATTATCAATTAACCTAAATTTTAGCATCTACGTTTTTGGCACTGGCAGCAACAGCGACAGCGACAGAGGCAGAGGCAATGGCAGAGGAGGCAGCCACGTTGTCAGCGCCGTGTGCCAGTTGAAGCAGAAATGTCGCAAGACAAAGTATCGTTCAAATGAGAGCTGACAGCTTTGCCGGCTGCCGGTTGCCATGAGGATTGCCACGACAGCTGTCCCCGCTGCTGGCAGCTGCTGCTCGTAGTGTGTGCGTCATTAGTGTGAAAGGATTCTTAATTTTTAATCGTGGTTAAATCGTATACCTTGATTTTAGTTGCACTCTACTGAAAACTCTGTACGCCTGTAGCCCCAAAATGGGTTGTTGTTATTGCCGACCCTTGACAATAATCATTTTCATTACTGCCAAATGCCAGTTGCAACAGAAGGCTGCAAAATTGCTACTGTTGCCCCGCTGCAGGATGTGTAGTTTCAATTTGATGTTGCTGCCCACCCACTTGGCTGTCAAATTCTAAGACAAACAACTGCAGCGAGTGTTTTCAAGGCGACACGTCATCGCCTGCAACACCCACTGTGACTGCCCCGGGACGGCAGCTTGTAGCTACTTTTATGCTTTGCACGGCGGGCGTATGTTTGTGTTTGTATGTGGGGGAGCAGCGAGCGTCTTTAAGGCATGTACTTGCTCAAGTGGAAATGAATTGAACTCAGCCAGAATCCAATCTTATTCTCTTGTCAACTTAACCCCGGCTGAGACGTCAACGACGTTGCGCCAATTGTTGTCTGTATTTGTGCATTTTAGCTGCTTCTCATAGTTGATGCCATTGCCTGGCTGCTGGCTTCGCTTTGTCATCAGCAGAGCATCAGCAGCAGCCATTTGACGACTGGGTCGCACAGTGGGGCCAGAGTGGTTGTAAGATAATCAACATTTAAAGAACTTCTTATGTATTTCGAATGATTCCTTTTTCCTCGTACTTATGTGATTTAATTTCGGTTTTCACTGACGACTCCATGGACATGAATTTTCGTCAACGGTTTCGATTTTCACTCATTACCAGATTTTACGAATTGACTTCAAAAGCTAAAAGATTCAAATGCTAAATGCTTACTCAAGACAAGAGATTTTAGTCGAGGGAAATTCTTTTTCGAAAAGGGAAATTCATAATTAATTTTAGGGAAAGTTGGTTAAGGCATGCTAATCCTAGAAAATGTAAACTAAAAACAGGCTAGTTTGCAAGTGATTGTCTTCTTCTTCTATATAAACTGTGCTAAATTTATTTAGCCGAATTTTGGCCGAAGCCCACTGTAGTCGGTTCGTTGTTTGTGCATAGGTCCGTTTGGCTGATGCTGCTGCTGCTCGATTTTTACTTTAAACAATGGCTTGAGCATTTCTGATTGTCAAATGTTTGCAGAGATAACATTTACTATTGTGGATTTGCACTGAAGCGTAGGAGATGGTATTCTAACGATGGCGACGAAGTCGTAAGTGCCGTTAGCACTGCTCAGCCCCGGCTGCCTGCCGCCGCGTCTGCGTCTTTAGATGCAGCACACAATTGCTATCAACTGTCGCCTTCAGGCGTCTGGCTCTGCCCGACAGGAAGCATCAATTTGTAATGATCCTATAAGTGCTTGTATTGTCCTTTTGTGTGGCTTCTTTGCGCAGCTCTATAAGCAAATGCTTTTTTAATTGTTGCGAACAGTTCATAAAACGGCAATTAGTTGGCATAATGCTGCACACTTTTCGGCTTATAGCAATTATGGACACATAAATGTAGCTGATAAAAGCGTGTATTATTTAATATCAGTAAACAGTTTGCATAAGACAACATATTATTAAATGCAAATATCTAAAATCTGATTAGTTTATTGTTAAAGGAAATAGCAGGTTATGAAATTGTTGTCGATTCCCAAGAAATTTCATTACGTCAAAGTTTTAGAAAGTTCTTTTTACGGTTTGTTTTTCTCCTACGATTCGCGCTTTCTCTTTTCTGGTCTTCATTGCAGGTAATTCCTACTAACCACACTGTAGTCCAATCGAATTAGTCAATGTATTGTACTTGACTCGTTGTCGTTGTCGTTGAATTTTCAGTGCATATTACGCTAATTGAAATCGCAATCGAATTGCATGACGGGGCCAGGCGTCCCGCTAACTGCGCTGTGTCTTCTGGCCAACATAAAAGCCAATGAAAATATAATCACATTTATGCAGTTTTTATGCCTGCAGTGTAAATATTTTCGCTGTAAACACCCGGCTGGTGGCGGGGCACATGTCCTGTTGACGCCAGCCAAGTCGGCCAGCAGTTGAGCTCTCATAACGCGGCGGCACACACCCAAACACACAAATACACAGACACAGAAAAGGAAGCAAGGACATGAAACATGTGCGCTGATGCGGCGAGCATTCTGCGCATTCGGTGTATTGCAGTCAGTTAGCCAAATAGTCAGTCCGTCATTCAGTCTCCCGTTTCTATGGTCGAGTTTTCGATTCCATTTCGAGTTCATTGAATTTGCGCTGATTTCTTTGCATTTTGGTTGCTTTCATGCATATGAAAATTGCATTAAAAAAATTGTAGCATACAATTTATGTTGCTATGCCAGCAGCAAAAATATGTTCAAGTGTGCGTGTGTGTTTAAAGGATGCGCATAAATGCATGAGCTTATTTTTGATTTAATTGAATTTTCTGTACGAGCTGGCCCACGCGTCGTATACGCAATTTAATAGTTTGTCAATTGCTGCATAATTGGTTTTAGTTAATATTGACAAGCACCACGGGCACAGCTGTTGCATTATTAATGGCCACGAAATGTGGCGTTTCCGGTTATGGCCAGTGAATTAATAGCCAACAATTCAACGGAAATACGCGCAAAGTTCTGCTGACAATTTTTACACATTGATAAACGATGGCGCCATGTGCGTGTGTGTGTATGTGTGTGCGTAAATGTCACGTTCGGACGATTAATAATGTGATTTTTTCTTGTCTCTATTTGCAGTTCAACGAGCAAGCGCCCAAACTACAAAAGGTAAATAAAACGCATATCCCATACCCCACAGACTCATTCATAACAAGCTCATTTATTGCCAGAGCGTGTTTAATTTGACAAGCTCAGCATATATAAGCAGCAAAATCTATGCCCTCGCATGGCTGATTAGCCAAGCCGTGAAGTTGCTCTAGACTAGAGCCGACCATAAGCCAGCTTCGTCAAATAGGAACTTTTAACAAGAACTGACAACCGCAATGACCAGAGTGTCATAAATCCATAACCGAGCGTCAACAACATCAACAAACATTTTGTTTGACCTACGACATATTTGTGTGGAACGATGCCACGCTTGCCGGCCAATAACCCCCAATAACCGCCGACCCGTTCGGATAAACAGACGCTAGACGACAGCTCTCATGTCAACCGCAGGCCGACATAGCGGACAGAATGGGACAGCATGCATATGAGGGGGCATGAATGGGTGCGGGAGGATATAAAAGATTGACTGTCCCTGTACACTGACAACCACTCAGCTCAGCTCGGCTCGGCGCGGCTCCACTCAACTCGTAACCCATCCACCCACATGTCGCCTCGCGTCTATCAGATAAAATGAAGTATTTGGCGAGTGTGTGTGCGAGACATGCGGAAAAACAAAGTTCTTTTCAAACGGCAGCTGCTGCAGCAGCGGCAGCTGTAATAACAACAGCAACAACAACATTGTTGTTGTCTGTGTTCGAAATTTATCGATAATTCGTCGCGGTTGACGCGACTGCAAAAAACAATGGCGCATAAATTCATGAGCTCCCAGACCGCCCGCAGCGCCAGCCATCAGTAATAATCATATATTAAATGTAAATATATATATATATATATATATATATAGTATAAGATCGCTATGAATTTTCGCCATTCGTTTTTACGTAGCCGCATTGACAGTTAAATGAATGACTGAAGGGGGAGTGTGGTGTGTGGTAGTCCTGGCCTTTGACTTGTGCTCAACATATTTTGTTTGTTTTTTATTACTGTTCTTCTTTTTTGGTAAATTTATGCAAATCTCTTAAAGTAGTGCCGTCATCGGTAAAGTTGTTGCCGCAGTCTTTTGACTACTCTTGTTTGCGTTGTTGTTTTTAATATAATAAATATAATAAGATGCCAGAATCTCTACCCCTCACAAGAAGGACAGACAATAGTTTCGTTATTGTTGTTGTTGTTGGATGAGCTGTTGCCACTGATGCTGTTGACATGAAAGCCGTTGGCGGCGGTCTAAGGGCAGTTTTGTTATGTTTTTATGCTGCTGTCAGGCTCTGACTGCAAAGCTTTGTGGTAGTTTTGCTGAATAGCTTCATATTTATGCAAAGTTATGCGGCTTAACAGATAAGTCGAAAGTTTTGGTCTGACAACGGTGCGACAGACAAGCCCAGATACTGAAACACAACTGAGAGCAGGAACTAAAGGGAAAGCAGCAACAAACAGACGGTGTCGTACATATCCGAGCATAATAAAATGCCATCGATACACATGTACGAAAATCTGTTGGATTTGAGCTAAAGTCTCATTTGCATTGCAGTTCAAATTGTTTTAGGAAATTCCATTTAAAGCCTTTTAAAGTGAGACACGCTGCTGTGTAAATTTCATGGTGGGTATGTCTTTCATTCAGCACTTTTAATTCCATATGACTACTATGTTATGCAAGCCGTATGTAGGCCAAACTTTTAACTAGCTCCACGCTGCGTATACGTAACATGAGCCGCAAGGGGAAGTATGAGCGTGCAACAAAGAGAACGCCAGCTAACATCTCCGGCTTGTGCTGCCACTTTAGTTAATTCCAAATTATATTAAAAACTTTCGACTTTTAACTCGCATTTTCATTATCTGGCCAACAAAGCGAAGTATGAAAAATAGCTGCGTGCGAGAGCTTGTTAAATGTACTTACTGCAACAACTTGCCGCGTCCAAAGGGTACATATTTGCACAGTGCCGCTTGTTGCTGCCTCTGCTCTATTGCTGCGAAGTGGCTGCACTTTGTGCAACGCCTGGTTGCCTTGATTCTGCTGTCTTGTAGTTTGGTGTACTATTAGGTTGCCTCTGAACTTCATTTGCCACGGCGCGCAGCTTAACTTGGACAAGGCTCAATGCCTGCTTTGGTCCTGTTGCGGCACGCTTTAAGCAGAAAATAAACTGCAACGTGACACTTGGGCGTTCATTTAATGTGACCAAACAGCATCAGCAGCAGCAGCTGCCTTGCAGAGTGGGTAAATAAACAAAGGGAGTGACAGCAGCAGAGGACTTGACTGCTTGCCACAGGCTGTGGCAGCAGGTGGCGACGCCCAACATTGATTTGCCCCATACCTTGTCCGCGCGCTGAGACACTTGAGCATCGTCGCCCTCTCTATCGCTCCCCGCATCTGACTGACCTCCTAAATTCGTTTAATGTTTAGTTAGGTTGGGCTTGGGCCTTGCAGCGGTTGACAGGTTGCCCGCAGCTGCCCCCTTCTGCTACCTTATTAATGGGCAAACTGAAGTGTACTAAATTATAATTTTTTTTTTCGCTGTCTACGCGGAACGGCGCACATTTCTTTTAATGAGTTTCTGCTCTGCCATTCAGCTTGAAGTGTGCTCGAAAAATAATTATGAGACTACGCGAACTTTAAAGTTAACATCAATTTGATTATGGACATTTATTTAATAAACTCAAATGCCATTAACTTTTACCTCTTCGGCAAGTCAAACAAAAGCGTGGTAAAATTAATTAATTAATTTAGTTGTTGGGTTAACTCTTTAAAGAATTCGATATAAATAAATTATGTAATTAAATGGATTAACTTCATTAGTTCAAAGCCAATTTAATTAAAAGCGAAAACAATGGCCTAAAATAACTTTTGTCACTGAACTTATCTTCATCTATGAAGATGGTTTATAGACTTGGGCAATCCATTCAATATAAATTGATAAAGTTATGCTAAAATCATTAGGAAAACCAATAACTATAAACTAGATTATTTATGCCTATAGATAAGCCTGCACAATCGTAATATACTAATTAATCCGTAGATTTATTTAACATTTGGTAAATTACATTTAAAGACCCGAATTTAATTGCATTTTCATGCCCTAAAAGCAATTAAATAATGTTGGCTATTAAAATTACAGATGAAAAATGTTTTTCTATTTGTTTATTTTTTTTTTTGCGGGATGCATGCAATTTTAAACGGACACCCGAAAGTATGCAGCAAATAAGAGTAAGAGTGCATGCAGCTGGCGTCGCTGCCACTGCAATGGCCACCATGGCGTGACCTAATAAAAAAATTATGCCAAACGAAAGCGAAAAACTGAATGGTAAAACGGTAAATGGTGGTAACGGACATGCCGTGGGAGGCGGGGCAGGGGACACTGTTAATTTTACAACCGGCAGCGTTTAGCGGAAATGTGAAAAGGCTGCGAGTAACAGTAGAGGAAAGGGGGAGGCAGGTGGTTCAATATGCACGCTCAGCACTTATGAGATATTAAGTTGAAAACTTTGCCACAAACTCGAGTTAAATTGAGCAAAATAATGCGGTCAATTTATAACGAACATGGAACGGGTGCACGGGTTCAGATTGGTTATGGGGTCTCGGCCGGTGCATATTCAATATGGCCACGATGACCGAACCGCATGCATGTATCTGAGTGCACAAGTGTGTGTTGTAGGATGTGGCAGCGCCGTTTTACCAGCACTTACCCCCCGCCGATGGCCAGTGTCAGGCAAGCTTAAACAAAAGGAAGTGGCCTGGCTGCTACTTTGTCAGTTTTCCTACTTGTTGGGCAACGCTCGGCGAAGGGGTATAACTATCCGGCTGGCTGACTGCGGATGTGCGGGCGTCCGTTCCCCTCCCCGTCTCTGTCTTTGTCTCTGCTCGTTTCTCTGCTGGTGTCATTTTGCTGTCTCTCTGGTCGCACACGCAAGTTTGCCAAAGTATGGAAACGAGCTCTCGCCCCCGCCTGCACTGCCCGCCCAATTTATAAGGTTAATATTTTAATGGAGGCCTCTGAACGGGCATTCGGCTCTGCTACGTGCTTCGGCCGGACGAGCAGCTACTGAAAGTGCAAGTGGCATTCTTGCTATTGGCAAATGACCCAATTTATGAGCCGCATTCCGGTCAGCAGAGGACGACATGAACATGACTTAATTCTTTTCTTCACTTTTTAATGACCTCTGATAGGGGAAATCGATATCTATCTTGTTAATCACAAGTCAAACTTTGTTTATTAAATTTTCTAATTCAATTCATAGAGCATGCCTAGGCATGAGCATGGACAAGCGGGCCTGCATTTTCCTTAGCTATAAAGTTATGCACAATAGGACGCTGCACTGTTTTTGTCAAACTTTTTCATTTGCATTTGAAAACTAAAACTTGGCAACACGTTATGCAACTCAAATTAATTACGCATGAAATTGCAATTAATTGGTTTAAGAAGTTGGCCAAGTTTATTTTAAAGTTTCTGTTGCCCCCCACAAAGTACGCAAAGAGCTTAAGCACTTGGTTAAACAAAAACTCGTATCCTCGTAAAGGGTTAGAGAGGGGAGGGGGTAAGATGGGTTGAGGCAGCTGCAGCAACCGACGGCAAGTAAACAGATAAAACGGCAACGAAATCTTGCGCAAGCAAAAACATCAACAACCAGCAGGAACAAAGTGTAAAAAACAAGCGAGAGTCAGGGACAGCTTGAGGGGGAGGGAGATAGGGAAAGGGACAGAGACAGAGAACAGACGGGCTAAAAACAATGGCGCAGGCAACGGCAATAAAAATGGCGCACAAGTTCAACCACGTGGCACGTGAGTCCGAGGGCCAGAAAATGTTTATTTGGGTCTTGCGTATGTGTGTGTGTCGGTATTGGTGTGTGTTGTAGGCCATGCTGCACAGCCAAAGCAAAAACAACAATAGTCACACACACACACACACGCCGAACAGCAACTCGAGGGAGGACTGTCACAGTAACCTAGATAGATGCACAAATTTTCACCCAAAATGTGCCACTTTCGCTTTGACCCAGAGCCGCCGCAA